CACACATGCACACATGTGCGTGCACGCCCACACCTCACCTTAAGTGAGGTTAAGGTTGTATAGTTTTAAACTGGTGGTGTGTAATCTGTCAGAGTTTGGGAACCATTGCTGTAGGTGCTCTACAGCAGGCTAATCAATACAGTTTTTCCTTTTATATTAATTTTCTGTGTTGATTTTTCCCCCCCTTCTCTGTTCAGTGTCAGTGGTGGTACTTGTATGATATTTGTTTTACATTTAACCTCGTATTTGAATTCTACCCTTCCTAATTATTTTGGGTGAATTTATAGAAAGTAAGTCCTATTGATTGCTTTTTTCCATCCTATCCCTCTCTCTTCTAACTATGAAGGTAGAAGCAAGCAAATCCCCCTCCTGGTAAATAAAGAAGCTAAGTTTGGTTTTCTGGTCTGTTAAAGTCTTTGAAAGTGTCTTGAACAGTCATTCACTATAGGTTAGTTCAGGAAGCAGTTGAGGTGAGGAGACAGGTTTCTTGAAAAGCTACTTAGTACAGACGTTTACTTAGCAGTGAAATGTGAATGAAATTAAATGCTTAATAGGCTGCAAATTTATCCTTCTTCCTGGATGCTCTACTTCTCTGGAATAGTGGACTGTAATATGAACACAGATATATTTATACTGCTGAATGAGTAAACATTTTCTTTTGTGTGTGTTAAAATGCATAGGAGTTTCCTGGTGCTTATCACTCTGGTTTCTAACTGCAAAATGCCTTTTTTGTACAACTAGCTTTAGCAGTTATTTCAGTTTGGAAAGAATCATAATTTTTACGCAGACGCACGCAAAGTAAATACATATAATAAAAATCAGAGGTTCTGGATTAATCCTGGATTGAAATGATGTTTGAAGAACATGTGCAACAGTGGTAGTTACTACACTGATATGCCTTAGGAATATGATGTAAACTTTTTACCTGTGTCTTAACTGTTATGTGGATACATTTCAGTATATTGAAAATCACTGGATTAAAGTAGACTCATTGTTGCATTTAGAAGGAAACTATTACACCCTCTCTCTGGTTTAAAAAAATAAAGTTATGGCTTGTTTGCTTGATTATCTTTTATTAAACTTCTGATGTGTATGAATTGGGTAGTCATCCTTAGACTGCTGGCAGGATGTAGGAGGGAAGGAAGTTCCTGAATATTATAAATATTCCTCTGTATAATAGGGTTTGAGTCTATTGATGTTCCTCTGTCTTATTCAGTCTGACCTTTGTCACACAAAAAATGCCCTTTGTGGATGTGCAGTTTTCCTGCAGAGACCAAGATGGCTCTCCTCTGAGATTACTGGAGAGGGGATGTGAAACAAAACCTGCCATGTTATGTCTAGGGATGATGGTTTTTTGACTGGAAGCAGATTATCCATGTTTGTTATTTGCTGACAACAGAATTTTGCAAGCCAACAGAAATGATTCAAGGGTACTACTGTAGAAACCAGGAAGGAAAACTCCCTCATGGGCTAGGGACGGACATTCAAAAAGTCTGAGACTGAATTGATTCAGTCTTTGCAGGTTAGTCTAACCTGCC